GATCTATCTAGAATCGAAATACAGCAAATGTGGGTGGGGCTTGTCTTAGAGACATGTGAACTAAAAATTAAAAATAAAAATAAATGGGAGCTGTGTAGCAGTCTAAGACTCAGAAATTCTGAAATCCTGTTGGACAGACCTTGGGGCGAGGAATATTCTTTAATTAAACCCTCCTTCTGCATCCTGGAAATTACTTGTGATTTTAAGCATAATGCCCAGCTTCACCATGGGAGGGATCCAGCCTTTTCCACTCCCTATACTCATCTAATGAGGGCATTGGAAGTTGTGTCCTCCCTGGGGTCTATATAGCTTCTCCTCATAGTGCTTCTGCCCATAGAAGCTTGGGAGCCCACAGATAATAGGGTTATAGGGTCTTTTAATTCTAGGCCATTGGCTCTTGGCCAATACAACTCTCTCCAAAACTTAGTCATCTTTTTATCTATTTGATTCCAATTGGTTTATACTTATAGCCACGTCCACAATTATCTTTAGACACACTTCTCTCTAAATTTAACAGCCAGCTTCCTGGGAGTCACCTCACACATTCAGAGGTTTTGACAAGTGACACTTGGACTTGTTTTAATAGGCCTGTATTGTTATTTAAAGCATTTTTCCATTTTCTCTCTTCCCAGTTGGAGGTGAGAAATAACTATTATCTTTCCTGCAAGTCCAGGAATTTCTGAGTTGTGTCTCGTCCTGGCTTGCAAACCAATCAATTCTTTTCTGAGCTCATCTCTTTCTTGTAGCACCTTGTCAGATGCAACCATTTGCAACCAGAGTGCTGTTTCCCACACTTTTTCCCCAAAGCCACAAAACCGTTCAATAGGGATCTGTCCTACAAGCTACCACAGGCAATGATGTTACCAAGTGTTTTGCTACTGCATAAGAAAGGTGATTTTCTTTCAAGCCTCCAATAACAGTTTTCTCATTTCCCACTGCCTGGCCCTGGAAGCCATACATCATACTTGAGAATTTTTGTAATGGTAGTCTGTCATTTCTACATCATAATTTCTGTATTGTTTACTTAAAGCACGTTATGCTATGGTAGTAAAGAAGCCAAAGTCTCTATGACTAATAACAAAAAGGGCATTTCTTTTTAAAAAAAAAAATATTTTTATTGATTTCAGAGAGGATGGAGAGAAAAAAACATCAATGATGAGAAAGAAGCATCAATCTGCTGATCCCACTGGGGATCAAGCCACAACCCGGGCATGTGTCCTGACTGGGAATTGAACCATGACCACCTGGTTCATGGGTCAACACTCAACTACTGAGCCACACCAGTTAGGCAAAAAAGGGCATTTCTTACATTATTTTTTTCTTTTAGGGGATATCTGCAGGGATTTTCCACTGTATCCTCATTCTAGGTCTCAGAGAGAGGTACAGGCCCTACCTAGGGCATGCTGTTCTCATGGCAGAAGGAAAAGAACAAATGATATAATCACACAAGGGCTCTTAAAGCCCTCAATGGACGGTGGCATGTGTGACTTCTACTCACATTTCACTGGCTAAGAAAATGACAGAACTGAGCCTGACGGAGATGCAGTGGGAAAGCATAATGCTGTCACCAGGAGGGGCAGAGCATAACCAGGAATGCTGCACCTCCCTTCAGCTGCTCTTTCTCATAAACACGGCTTTGAACTTGCATTTTACCTTGTTAGAACGAGATACATGCTTATAGCAAGCTGGGAATTGCTGGCTTCTGGGGAAATCATAACATTTTTAGAGACATATGCATTGTCTGCAGTAGGACACAACCCCCAAGCATACAGGGGGGACAGCAGATGGCTGGATGAGTAGGAAACCGAACTAGCAAGTGGCATTTTTTCTCCAAGAGCCTCAGTGGAGGGGGATATGTTGTGCACACACGGTCTTCCCAGTAAGTTCACAGGTATGCTTGGAGCTGAACGTGATGGAGAACTGCTCATCTGATGTTCCGAAAAGCTGGGCCAAGTTTCTATAAAAGGGGTTAAGGGTCATGCCCCAAGCAGAGTTCTCACCCCCATCCAAGCCCCTCTTACTCCTCTTTATCTTCACAGTTTGACATGCAAAGGATAACTCTGGAAGAGCTGAAGCACATCCTCTATCATGCCTTCCGGGACCACTTGACAATGAAGGACATTGAGAACATCATCATCAATGAGGAGGAGAGCCTGAATGATACCTCGGGGAACTGCCAGACAGAGTTTGAAGGCGGTAGGTACCCCTGTTTCTGCTTTCTCCCTGGTCTGGGATGGGCCAACGCCTTCACATCCTCTGTATGAAAAACGTGTTGACTGTCTTCTGGGCTGGAATGGCCTTGTGCCAAAGCCATGAATCCAGGACTGAGGTTAAAAGATCCTTTTGGTAAAGATGCAATTGCTTTCTTTTTTTTCTTCTATATTTTCCCCAAACTCTGCATTTTTGCAAAACCTCCATTGGCCCTGTCCTTCCTCCAGTGACTCTCTGTGGTCTGTGACCAGATATGTGGCGTTGTGGTGTTTGCCTTGACTTAGTGGGGGCTGCACGGGGTGGTGGAAAGGGCCTGTTTAGGCTGTCAGTAAATCTAGATCAATTTCCGTGGCTAATTGTGTGACTTGGGCAAGGAGTGTGCCTTCTCTGGGTGTGTTTCCTCATCTATGAACATCAAGATAATTACGCCTCCTTCTCAGGATCTTAGAAATGGAATGCCTCTATGCTGTGCTCCCCGAATGCACTGGCCAGAAAAAGCGCTATTCATGAAAGGACTCCTGTGAACTTAGTGAAGTAGTTGCAGAAGAATAGGTTCCCCTGGGGAAAAGAAAGAGACCCCTGACAGGCCATTTTTCTTGGGCTCATGAAAGAAAACAAAGACAGCCTACCTTATCCCCCAATCAGAAGAGAGTTCCAGGGAAGCTTAATGATCTGATCCCTCTTGCCAACGCTGAAAATCAGAACTGCTTTAACAGCTCTGAAATGTAGAATTTTTAAAATTCCATTAAAGCAGCAAAGCAGACTTAACTTACTCGACGCTGAGGTTTCTTACAGAGATCAAACTGTTTTTTTCCTATTCTTTTTTTCCTGAACATAGTCAGAAGTTAATATCTACAGATGGTAAGCTATATAAATGACAATATATACAAGACAATATATAAAAGAAGGTCACATAGACACGAGAATGGCATTTGGTTCCCTCGTCTTGGAGCTGACACATCAGAGCTGGCCAGACCATGGCAGGGAGGCTGCTTGGGGCTGAGCTGGTCCAAGTGGCCACAGCGATTCATTCAGACCTGCCCTCTCTGCCCCCAGCCCTGCCTGGACTGCACTGCTAGGTCAGCATTAAAGGCCATGACAAGAGGAAACAGGAGATGGCTTGTACTCCAAGGTGACAAATTAACTCAAACCAGGGAAATGGGGCATGGTAGGGACTGGGGTGAACTTGAGAGCAATGCCTCCTTGGAAAGACATTCAAATTGAACATGTTCACAAGTGCTGTGGACAGCCAACAGAACCCAGCTGTGGTCCAGAAGCTGCCCTGGTCTCCTTCTTTGTGACCGGGGCCGTAGCATCTATGACCGTATTTGGAGTTGTAGCCACACAGACCACACAGGGCAACATGTTCACAGCCAACCCATTTCTAGTCAGACAGGCAAGGGGACTGGGAGGGTGAATAGAGGTTCGAGGGCAGGGGTTGGACTATAACTGGGGGAAAAGCAGGCCTGGACTCCTGTTTCGTCTCTTTCCTAGCTGACAGACTATGTGCTCAAGTAGTGGAAGCATTTGGGGCTTCAGCCTCCCACATTAGCACCCGCTCTTGACAAAGGAGGAAGGAGTATTTCTGGGCATCTCATTTTCTACAGGAGCCTCTGTTGGTGGATCACTGTTTTGTTCAGGGAAATGTCACAAGTCTTAGTAATTTGAGAAAGGTCAGACTGCACTGGGAAGTAATCTGAACTTTAAGCCATCTCTTTTTATTACTCAAAAGCTCATACATTAGTGAAATAAATGACTGACAAAAAGATTTCCAAATAGAAGTCTTGCTGGGTCTGCTTTAATGATTCATACATATAACATTGGCAACAGCTATCATTTGGGGGTTGGTAAATGATAAGGGCCAGGCACTGTACTAAATGCTCTAAAATTCATGATCTTGTTTAATACAAGAAACATTATTTTGTAATTAGTACTTTTGGAGTGATCTCTGTGACCTTGATTATATAATCCCTTTTGTATATTTTCATTTCAAATATACACACACACACACATATGTATGTATGTACGTATATACATATATACATAATCAGTACTATTTGGCCCCAAAAGCAAGCTCATTGGTTTGTGTTTAGGTTTAGATTTTTCCAGTCTCAGATATGATTGCACTGTGGGCAAAGTTGTCTAGGAAGAGATGATGCACAGAGACTGAGTTCACCCCTGGTGCCCCAGGACTGAACAAGTCCATTTAAGACCCTGTGGTTGAACTTGACCTCCTCCTTCCCCTCTTTCTTGCCCTACTGCTTTCCAAACAGGGACAAGTTGGCATTTTTAACCTCTCCCTGCTCCCTACAGCAATCTGATGGCACAGTGACATGGCTCATGCCTTCTAAATCTCCTCACCCTCCTCCCAGCCCTTAGGCCTTCCTCTTCCCCAAGCTATCAACTCCTTGCTGTCCTTCCTTGCCCTAGCCCAGGCAGCATGCCCTGTTCGGCCATTGCAGACATACCCTTGCCAACATTTCTGATCCCTCACCCACCTATCAGCTTCCAACATGCCAACTCTAAGTAAATCCAGCATCAAAATCTGAAGGCACCAAGTGGTTTCTTCTTTCAAGTGATGGCCTATGTTTCTCTTTAGATCTAATCTTCATCACCCACATTGACCAATGAGAGGGAAAGAAGCAGAACCCCACCCCCTCACCCCCAGACTCCAGAGCCCCAATCAGGCCTCCTGTCTCTTGCTGCTTCCCCCCGAGGAAGCCCTTTCCTCCTGCTCTTATTGGAGCTTTGCTTTGGCAAGTACATGCTCACCTACAGAGCCTAGGATCCACGGGCATTGGAAATCCTGCCCTATTTGATGTCAGAGGAAGGAATCAATGGTGAGCAAAACCTGAACTTGTAGGAGGTCTTTTCCTTAAAAAGGTGAAAGGATGCATTTGTCTATGAGCAAGGAAGGAGGAGATGGTCCATGAAACAGATGTTTTGTGGCCAAGTTGGCATTTAAATAAAGCCCCCATTCCACGGCTGTGAGGTCAGCAAAGCTTGAGTCATGATTGAGATTCTAGAGTGTGGAAAAGGTTTGAAAATGTGTCCTTGTGCAACCTGTGTGCCACGGAGTCAGTTAGAGATTCATAGGGGATTTCCAAAAGCCATCAGTATCATTTTATGTCAGTGATTATACTTCTGCAAAGGTGTTCAGATTCTGTCCATGAAGTCAGGAAATGTTGATTTTTTCCTCCCACATGAATGGAAGAATGAAAAACAGAGAAATAGGCCAGGAGCCCTGCAGTGTGGAGTCATTGGTGGGAAAGGTTTGGGGTTTTTTGTCCTCTTAGTTCTCATTTGGGCTTGATTTTTAGCCAATAGGATATTTTGGCTAAAGTAGGAATTTCAGGCAATCCCAACCCCTCAGATCTTTTTTGAATTCTTTTATTAAGATAACCTACGCTTGATGTAGTTAGGTGCTAGTTGGCAACATTTGTGTTATAATTATTGTGAAAAATAAATGGGTTCATATACACCAAAATGGGTTAAATACAAGAATATGTGACTACCCACGATGCCCATTCAGTGTCCATGCTACATATGAGGAGTTTTGAGGTGTTTTGCTTTAGTTCAACCACTTGTGGTCACCAGACATTTTGTTTTTGGAGAACATAAGCTCTGTGACACTGAGAGACAGATTCATATCTTATTATTTGGTTCGAGTCATGTGTGCAACTGAGTGGGCTTACAGTTGAGTTGTCTATTTGCCTGTCCCTGATCCTTATTAAGGATTCTCATGACAAATTAAACTATATGCTCAGTTTGGTAGTAATTGCTTCCAGTGTTTACTGCTTCATCCCTATTGATGCAGTCCAGGAAGAAAGGGGTGGAAGAAAACTGGTCAGCATGCCGACCAAGGCTGGTCATTTGTTAATACCTCCCATTGACCTGTCAGCACAGTCCGAGCGATAAGTTCTGTGGCTGCTGTGGTTCAGGTGAGGAAACTTAGGCTCAGCAAAGTGGAGTAATTTGTCGAAAGTCAGGATTTGAACCCAGGTCTACATGTTAAAGTCCTGCCCTGAACTCTTCATTGTCGAGACCATTTCCTTGGGCGTAGGCATTACAAATTCTCCTTAGAGAGTGCAGCTTCAGCGTCTTTTCTCGTTTTCCATTCCATCACCCATGAAATCATATTATATTTGGAAATGGAGTAGAGATGCAGCAAAATCTGTGTGTGAGCCCTTTCAAGACACATACTGAAGTGTTGTCCCTAAATGGAACACCAGCTGTCAGATTTTTCTAGACATTCTGAGAACATGCGCAGGAGAGGAAGTGAAGAGCATCAACTGGGGAGTAAGTTTCTGTGAAAGATAGCAGAGCTGCTCTGTACCATTCAGTGTCTCAGTCTGAGGGACAAGAGGAATGATGGCAAAGGAGGTGACACAGGCCAGGTAGTCCCAGAGGATCCCTGTGCAGACCTGTGGGTTCTGTTCCCCATCCTGTGTAGACTAGCTGTGTGACAGTGACTCTCGAAGCCTTCTTTTCCTTATCTGTCCAATGCAAAGATTGGACAGCAACAGTCATATCTAGATTCCAAATTGTCTAGGCTCAGTGGAAGGTCAGAAAAAATTCACGGCCAAAGTCAAGGTCTCCAGCTCAGCCATCCTG